GTCCAATGTCTAAGGCATTTGACTGCTAACCAGCAGGTCAGTGGTTCAAATCGATCAGCAGAAGGAAGATGTGGTCACCTACTTCTGTAAAGATTTATTGACTTTGAAACCCAATGGAGGTCTCTAGGAGTCAGAATCAACTCGATGGTGGTGGGTTTGGCTTTGCTTTTTGGAGGCTGAATTCAGCTTTTCCAAAGCTAGATATTGTGAAAAATTAACAAATATGCCACAGTAATGTTTCATGGGTAAATATAAATATATAAAGACAACAATAGCAGCAGCTAACAGCAATATAGTGACATAACAGCTATGCTAGGCACTATTCTAAACAAATTACATATTTTAAATCCATTATCTTTGTAATCATCGTATACCAGTGGTTTCCAAATCTGGCCCATGAGAATCACTTGGGATAATTTTAAACAACAGATTTCTAGACCCCATTCATTGTATCACAAATTTCTGGGATTAGACAAAATGGCATTTGGGAACCACTTCTATCATACAGTGAAGTACAGTATAATATATGTCCTCCCTTGGAAATTCTCAGTGCATTCCCATATTTAGCAAAGGAGCTCCCTTCTTCATGGCATTCCTTATAACATACTAGGGAACACTACTGTGAAAACTGGAATGGGAAATGAGTTTAATTTTATCCAACACATTTTTACTAAACACTTAACTAGGTCCTATGGACTAGGGAAAGGAGCTCTGGTAGTGTAGTGGTTAAGGCATTTGGCTGATAACCAAAAGGTAGGTGGTTCAAACCCACCAGCCACTATGCAGAAGAAAAATGGTACAGTCTGCACCTGTAAAGATTTACAACATTGGAAAGTAAATGGGGGTCGCTAGTTGGAATTTACTCAATGCCAGTGTGGTTTCTTTTAAGACACTAGGGATACAACAATGAATATATAGACCCCACACCCCAAGTACAGAAGAGAAAGGTGGGGAACACAAGTATAGGCATGCTGCATTTTCATGCACTTTATAGACATTGCATTTTTCACAGATTGAAGATTTGTGGCAACCCTGCATGGAGCAAGTCTATTGGCATCATTTTTCTAACAGTATGTGCTCAATTTGTGTCTCTGTGTCACATTTTGGTAATTCTCATAGCATTTAAAACTTTTTTAAAAAATGTGATTTGGATGAAAATTTACAGAGCAAATTCACTTTCCATACAGCAGTTCACATACACTTTGTCTCATGACATTGACTACAATTTATCACGATGCAACAGCTCCCCTCTCGCTTCTTCCTGACAGTCACCTCTTCCCTGTGTCC